AGAACTCAATACTTGGAGTTCTTCACAGAAGACAACAGTCTAAGACATACTCTTAGATATCAGACTGGACATTTCAAATTAGTAGATGCTTTGCCATTAATACTTTCATGAATAAACTCTAGCACTGTATTGTTCTTATAATGACTATCAATTTAAGTTTGTCAAATGCTTTGATAGATCCACAGGAGCACAAGAGCACCACAGGAAAACAAAACAAAACAACAGCAAAACTGAGAAGAAATGGATTTTCTGACCTCAGTGCAGGATTTGAATAATGTGGAATAAAGAAAGCCTGAAGCCACACATTGAACAATGAAGATAAAATGGAACATTGAAGAGCTGCTCATTAGCTGAGCATCTTATTTCCTGCATATGGAATCAGACAGAATTCTGTAAAAATATATAAAAATATATTATAAAAGACTGTATCATGATTAGTCATTATTGAAAGGCTGATATTTTTGGTCATCTGAACAAAAAATTAAAAAAAAAAAAAAAAAGAAAGCAACCACCAAACAATAAGTTTAGTTTTCACCAAAATCAATTGTTAGTTTATTTTTTATCACTAAAATTGAAGCATTTGCCTTATAAGCTAAACATAATTAAATTTTGAAATGAGTCATTTCTTTCAATTGAAAAATTATAGCATTTTATTTTCAAAATGTCAAACAACACTGCTGGGACTGCTAGAATTTTTTTAATGGATTTGCCATCTGAAGCTTCCATATAGTTTCCATACATAGCTTCATTTAATGCAAATTTTCATTTTTCATGTAAAACACAATTCAACTAAAATATTGAGTTCATCTCTAATCTCAGTGTGGAAAGTGAGAACATTCAGGTGAAAGCTGAACAGCCAATCTGTGGTCTCTTAGTTTGAGCATTAGAGTCTAAAAGCCCACTGATAGAGGTTTTTATCTTAGTATTGGATGTATGATACATGTGCAACCAACTGTACTGATAGGGAATAGATTAAATTTTATGGTTTTGCAATCCAGGAATTCACATTAGATAATCAGAATCAGCCTAGAAAATCTGTTCACATTAGCACTTGAATTTCAGTGAGTATCCTGTGTATCCCAAACATTACATAAATAGTTTAAAGGCCAATATAGACAACAACTGCTATGCTCCAAAATAAAAGTAACAGATAAACATTGATGTTTTTTATGGAATGAATACAGGGTGCCCTATTACAGGTTTTCCACTGAAAAATTATGGAAATGCTTTTTCTCAAGTTACCACATGTCCTGGAAGGACAGTTCATTGAGTACGTAAGCTTAAGTATATTAAAAGGCAAAAATGACAAAGATGCTCATTGAAATGCATAGAAGGAAGCAAAAGTGATAGAATAAAATTGGGAAAAAAGATACATAGAGCAAGCGATCTTCAACAGTAATAGGGAAAATCATAAAAGGCTAAAGAGAGAAATAAGAATGAGAAGAAAAAAAAATCACTGTTACTGCAGTTTACATCAAAGGATGTAATATTCAGCAGAAAATATCACACTTGACTGGAGGCTGAAAATGATATGCAGTCTGAAATACTATGACATCAGAATAATTTGTTTTCCTTCCATGTAAGGGTGTTCAGCTAAATTTAGAGCTGAAAACCTCCCATTAGCAATGTTCTCACTAAATATCCCAAATATAAGAAAATAAGAGCACAGAAATAATTTGTATTCTTATAAGAACGTGAAAAAGCCATGCATGTCACTTTTACTATACATTTTGAGTGTTCTTTCCACTGCTTTCACAGCCGAGCTAACAAATTTTAGTAGCTTTTATTATATTTGGATGTTTCTTGATAACCTGTTGCGCTTCTAAGTTTATTCTATAATGTAAAAAGAGCTTTAATTACAAGAAGAGGGTCAATATTGCAGATTGCAGAGGTAGTATTAATTTTAAAATAAATACAAGCCCTCCAAGCACTACTACCCATCTGACTTCAATCCATGATACCAGTCCAACAATCAATCACCAGAGGCATTGGACACCCATAATTAGATTATAAAATCATAACTATAGTCATTTTACGTCTGCTTGCATAATTACATCAGCATGCTAATATCCTTTTAATGGTCTCTAATGATGTAATAAGAAATAATGGAATTTATTTGACAGCTACATAACCATTAACAAAACATATTAAGCATAACTATTACTTCCATAAAGATTCAGGCTGTATCCAGAAGTGACAGCTAACATGTTGGATCTTTTCTTCAGTACGGAAGTATTTCTAATTATGTATTCCCCAAATCTATTCCCAATCATCTGCTTCACAGGGTGAGCAAAGTTTATGTCAATGCAAACTTGACAACAAACCAACTGTAGAAGTGGACTGAACGCTCTGGGAGCCAAGCCTGAGGCTACGTTGTGAAATGCAGGCCATCGGTTAAAGTTGGCAGGATTGTGAAAGAGAAGATAAGCTGATTACTACCATGCATCAAATAAAATCAAGAACAAACATGGTAATCAGTAGGAACCCATAGAAAAAAAGCCACTGTTCACTTAACCAAACTCCAAGGCAGAGGAAAAAAATAAAAATACATGGAAGACTGAAGGATATCTGCAAACAAAACTAACTAAATGTAGTAATGTATTTGTGAATCAGTACCCTTGAAATCAGTTTTTGCATAGAATAAGACAAAAAACCTTATCTGAGAATTTAAAGAATGTTAAAAATTCACCACTCACACTCTGTCCTCAGTTTTTGTATTATTCCTCTTGAATGCGATGGCCTTGTCTGAATTCTGAAATTTGTGGCTCTCATTAAAATGACTTTAATCTGAAATCTGTGCAGTAGTCTAAAAAATTCAGATGTACACTATTTTCCTTTTCAGGATTCTTGGAAGGGAAAGAGAAAACTGAGAATTTTAATCCAAGCTCAGATTCAGGTCAGAGTTCAATCTAATTTAGTTTTCCATATTCCAACCTCTCATAAACTCTTGATCTTAGGATTACTGATATTTTTAAAAGCTAAATCCCTGAGGGGGAAAAAAAACCACCAAAATACTAATAAAATAAAATACTTCCTTAGAGGTCTCATCCTCACATTTCAGTATGTCAATGGTGAATTAGGAACACCCATATCATTAGATCTTTCTCGAAACCCTTCTACAGGCGGTCATTCAGACAGAGCTTTCACGTCCATACAGTTTTCCAATGATGGCTATGTAATGACAACAAAAGAACAAATCCAAAAAACATTAATGTTTTTTTTTTAAAGCTTCTACTTCTGCTGTCTGATGTCCACTTTTGTATTTCCATAGCACTTCATGGGTTTAACCTGAGCTTAACCAGCTCATTTTCTGGACTAAAGGTTTATTATGGATAGACCTGGGCAGCCTGGTCTAGTATTAAATGTGGAGGTTGGTGGCCCTGCCTGTGGCAGGGGGTTGGAGATTCATGATCCTTAAGGTCCCTTCCAACCCTGTGATTCTGTGATTCTGTAATTATTCCCTAACTTGGTATTTGGGATAACCTTTAACAGATTTACAGGTGTGTTAAAAAGACAAAGATCTATGATGCGCTGATAGACAGAATAGTCTGTCCTGCTTGTAATTATCATAATTTATAATGCACCTTTAAAATACAGACCATATCATACAAGTACTTTTGGTACTGTCATATGACTGCATATTAATGGATGCAAAATATTCAGCTTTCCTAAAGTTGCATATTAAGGAAAAGAAAAAAAGTTGTTCATAGCTTGCTATTTCACTGGAGGGATGTTTTCCATTAAAGAATAAATCTACAGCTTGACAACTGCAATGTTGTTGCAATTTATCAAATGATTTTTTTTTTTTTTAAAAAAAAGGTTTTATGCTAACAATTAGAAAGGTAGAGGGAGGTGAAAGTGCTCTTTTAATGTAAATGAATGAAGTTAATGAAGTAGAACCCATTGATTCCAGCAGAGAACTTGTTCTGTGGAATTATCCCTTTGAATGCGTAGCTTTGATTTATCTGGTAGTATTCAAATTCAAGGTTGAAAATTCTTTTATAAGGAAGGCCATAAACATCATTTTTTTGTCATTACAAAATTCAGTTTTCATTAACAGTATATTTCATAAAATACAACACTTCCACCAAAAATGCAACATCTTCAGACCACGGCTAAAAACATAGAGTTAAAAAATACAAATTGCATTCACTGGATCCAAAGGCTAAACACAAGAAAGGCTGAGAAGGCACTGCCCTTCAGCAATAGGACTCACGGGGAAAAACAAGCAGCCCCAAATACTGAAACATAGGCAAAGCCTGGATGCTACTGAGATAACAGTTATTTTCCGTGAACTGGGATGTGAGTTCTTTCCAGCACGCTGTAACAAACCAACCACAGCCGATTCTTTTTTTCCATTACTTCTCTATTAAACTATTCTATTTAAGGAAGCAAAAACTAAAGTTTTATAAAGTAAATGTCCCTATCAAAGTGGTCTCAGAAAATCGCCATTATAATTTTTTTTTTTTAACCAAACGTGGAAAATCGTAACCTCCTAACTTAGGTGATTACCATACAGCACATTTATCAACATAAATCATAAGAAAAGCAGCATTTCAACACAGCTGAACTCCCTGTGACTTGTTAAATGAGTAGCTGTCCAAGCAGCATGACCTGTGCCATGTGCCATACTGAAAGCCAGGAAGCAAGTTTTTCTCCCGCTGTGATTTTGTTTCACCCTCAGCTATGCTGAGTATGATGACTCTTTACTGTACTTGCTTAACCCATACTCTGTTAAATATGACAGTTATAGATTTACAGTACTTTAAGAGATTTTTCCCTGTGGGAGCATGGGGTTATTTCAGTCTTTATAGTTTGTATTAAATAATTGTTTCTTAAATTTGTGTAGGGGATGTTATAAAGATCACCAAAATGTTCTTTTGTTTCTGCATATACTCTCATTAATTTTGGCATTAAAGAGAAGTCATTCGATTGTAATATGAACTACTGAAAAATAATAAATCCAATAAAATAAAAAGAGGCAAATTCCATATACGTACTTGACATCATCGAAGGCACTCATCTGCAGCTTCAGGAGATCTGCCACATCCTTTATTAACTCCAGGCCCTTTTCCACACTCAGGGGGCTGTTGAAAGGGAGCAAGAAAACACAGCGTTACGAAAATGGAACTCATCAATACTTGAGAGGCTAAAAGTCCCAAAAGAGTTATCACCTTGGCCTCTTAGAGTCTGAAAGCCACCAGTAACTGTATTCCTGTCACATAGTGATCGTGATATCAAGGGAATTGGGATCAGGTGCTTCTTCAGGCATGATGAATCACCTGAATTTTCCAGCAATAAGACAAACAATAAGGTGTAAATGGAATTGTTAGGAAGTGTAATGGGCCCATGATGCAGCAACCAGTTCATCTCGATCCTCAATAAAAAATGTAATAAAGTAAAAGGACAGAAAGAGAGAAAAGGAATGACGAGACATGGAGGGAAACAAACAATGAAAGTCAAATTGCAGGCTCAGTAGCAAATGGACAAGGGAAAAGCAAATTTTTAAATTCATTAGTTCTTAAAATGAATCTTCGCCCAGTGAAAGGATACAAAATTATTATGGATCTGAGAGTAAACAATGGAGCAAGGCACACAGTCCAGACGACACTGATTAGATACATAGGATTTAGTTTGGTGAGCGTATGCAATGCTGCCAGAGCCCACTTTAAATCTTTTTCACCTTTGTCGATGCCACATTTACATTTTTTAATTTAGAAAACAGGTTGCAATCAAGCATAACACAAGAGGACTGCTAGCATTTTTTTTAAAAAAAGCATTTATTTAGATGCAAAATATATATTTTAAAGACTTTTAGGTATTAAAGTTGTTAAAGCTGTAAAGGTGTATTAAGAACATTCTAATAGACAGACTGTACTTTGTTTAGCTGTTGTTCAGTGCTGTGAAACCAAATAAAAATGTATTTAGAAAGTAAAAAGATTTGAAAATTATATAACAAGCTCTACTGAGAACAACAAATGCAGCATTCTCTAAATTGCGATTATAGAATTATTCTCAACACTGTCAAAGCCCCAACACTCATAGCATTAAACCTTACAAGCCTGATACTTATCTGACTTATGCCACTTTAAATCAGAAACAACTTTGATGAAACTAACCCAGGGGGAAAAAAAAAAACAAAACTTCTGCATCTTTTCCTTCAAGGGTTTATAACAAGTAAGAGAAGGAGGTGTCAAAAAAGTACGTACTGTTAGACATGATCTTTTCAACTGGACTAAGGGGAAAAAAACACCTCTCACAGCTCTGTACCTAGGTTATTATCTTTGCTTCACAGTGAAAGTTTTTTGAATCTAATTTTATTGCACTGTAATTACGGCCATGGATTTATTTATTGGCTGCAACGAGTGCTGCTTATTTATTTATTTATTTACCCTGCCGGGTTCTGCATGCAGTGCCCTAAGGGCACCTCTATTTAAATAATGGGATGTCTCATGGATCTTGGTTAGGCTGGAATTGTTCAGCCTCCCTTCATGCTACTAACCCAAAATGCTCAAGAGACCTCCTGTCACACAGGCAGAGGTAGCCCCTCAAGGCACCAGATAAATTTAGAGTTTTTCTAGATGCATGAGACAGAAATGTTCTTGTCTGAAAGTAACAAAAGAATCTGATCGTTTCTGTAAGGAAAAAAATGTACTATAGATTATTCATAAAAATCCTATATTTCAAGGACTGACAGTAGGCAGAAATGTGATTATTCTCATCACTATGAAAGCAGATTGTCATAGTGACTCAGGGGCTTATGTGTTAATTAAATCTTTCCTCCCAAAGACACTGGCTTAAATTTTATGGAAATGATTGGTGTCAGCAAGCGGGCTTTCACTGTAACAGCAAGTATACACAGAGGTGCAGGAAAAGTCTACTGCATACATTGATGTCGTTTTTTTTTAACCAAGAGTCACATTTCTAAAAGCTCAACCTTCCATTCCTGCTTACCTCCCCTTCCTTGCAAAAGCATTTCCCAACCTCCAAACTGATGTATGCTGCTATGAGTCAATGTAGTAACAGTAATATGTAATCAGAGCATTTGAATGGTACAGTCCAGCAAGAATGCTGGAGAGAAAACGAGAGAGAAAAAGGCGCTAGAAAGTCATTCTTCTGCAGGTCTGAGAATCTAGTAGCAGTCTTGTTAACTCTCATCCAATAGCAAACTAAAGAACAAAGGTTAACAAGCTCACATCTGGAGTTAGGCTAAGAAATTGTCATTTGAAAAGTATACTGGTGCTTTTCAAAGGCATGGTGCTATCTGGACATGTTCAAGGCCAGGCTGGATGGGGCGCCAGGCTGCCTGATCTAATGGGTGGCAAACCTGCTCACGGCATGGGGTTGGAACTGGTTGGGCTTCCAGGTCTCTTCCAATACAAGGCATTTTATGATTCTAGGATTCTACAATTCTTCTTTGGTATCAGTATTATTATTGATCACATTCTCACATTTGAGGACTCACATTAAGAACTGATTAATTTCTAGTACCTTCTAGTACCACTTTTACAGTTTCTAAATGTTGCCACATACTAGTACTGCTCATTACAGTTCTGTAACAGCTGTATGGTAGGAGAGTTGAAAAAGCCTAATCATTATCCACACTCTATTTCCCTACTACTTTAATTCTTACTGCATTTTGCTCAGTGTTGCAGAGTGTGTGCTTACATAGTGACTGACTCTAGCTTTATTTCTGCTGAGTGAGCACACTATTCCCAGCAGTACGGCGTTAAGCAAACTACCCCAAGCCTAAGGAGAGTGTCCCACCTCTGATAAATGAAAAGGAAGTGTTGGCCTCCTCAGATATGGAGAAGGCTGAGGCAGTGAATGAATTCTTTGCTTCCATCTTCGTGGCCAGTCAGGCTTCTCACACTTCTCATGTCCCTGAACTTCAAAGCTGAGGTGGAGGGAGCAAAATCCCTCCTAGTGTAAGAGAGGAGCAAGTCCAGACTACCTCATGATGCGGAACACGTACAAGTCTATGGGGTCAGATAACATGAATTCCAGGGTTCTGAAGGAACTGGCTAACACAGTTCAAAAATGTGATATCTCTATTGACTGTGAGGATTCATCTACAATAGAATTAACTAAAAGTGTTACATAAAGCAAGAAGTAAAAACAGAACACAACAATTCAGATAAGGAACAAATAGAAGACAGTACAAGAAGATATTTTAATAGAACAAAGTTTCTCTGGATGCAATCATGATGACAAGGCCCAAGTCTTGCAGGAAAGATAAGAGTGGATCAGGGTTCCTACAACTTTATTTGAACTGTTTAATTTTAGAATCGTAGAATCATTTGAATACGAAGGGACCTTTTAGATCACCTAGCTCCAACTGCTTTACTACTGGCAGGGACACCTCCCTCTAGACCAGGTTGCTCACAGCCCCATCCATCCTGGCTTTGAAGAGATTTAGATTTTAGTTTCCTAAAGCAGGAGAGGACAGAGAGCCGTGTTGTTACTAACAGTCCTGCCTGGCTCTGCTCACTCAGAGCAGTGTGGTGCAGTGGGTCTGGGCCATGGCCACTTCATGTCCAGACACAGCACAACACAGATCCTGCCCATGTAAGTTCTCAGCCTGTGATAATATATTTCACTACACCAGCAATGGTAAACTCTTAAAGAGAAATCACAACTTGCAAAGGACTCAGAGATAAAAAGCACATACTGGAAAAAAGAAAAGCAACACAACCTATCCATGGATGCTCTTTATGCCTTGGAAGTTCACTTGAGGATGTGTAACCCTCATTTTGTTAAAGAAAACTAATGGGTTCTGCTATATCCTTAACAGTCCTTGATTTTTTATTTTTTTTTTTTTAATTGCCTTGAGAGTTTCTCAACACTTCCAGGAAAGGTTTCAGCATTAGGAACAAAAAGCCTCTGTGTGGCATAGCACCTTTTTGAAGATCATATAGCTGCTGATGGCCAAGATCTTGAGATAGAATTTACTTCAGACATAGAATCATAGAATCACAAATGTTGGAAAAGACCTTTAAGATCATCTACTCCAACCATCAACTCATCACTAGCATTCCTGCTAAACCATGTCCCTAAGTGCCACATCTAAACATTTCTTGTACACCTCCAGGGACAACGACTCCATCACTTCATTGAGCAGTCTGATCCAATGCATTACCACTTTTTCAGAGAAGAAATTCTTTCTACTGTCCAACCTGAATCTCTCCTGGCTCCACTTAGAGCCATTCCCTCTTGTCCTATCACTGTTACCTGGGAAAAGAGGCCAACCCCCACCTTACCACAACCTTCTTTGAGTTAGTTATGGAGAGCAATAACATCTCCCCTGAGCCTCCTCTTCTCCAGACTGAACAGTCCCAGTTCCCTCAGCCACTCCTTCTAAGTCTTGTGTTCCAGACACTTCATAGCTTCGTTGCCTACTTTAGACAAGGTCCTCTTGTGTAGGACCTCAGTGTCTCTCTTGCAGTGAGAGGCCCAAAACAGAACTCAGTACTTGAGATGCAGAGGGAAGGTCACTTCCCTAGTTCTGCTGGCAACACCATTTCTGATACTATATATGTTTCCTATCTTTTCTATAATTGTACTTGCAGTAGATTTCTCTTTTGCATTTTTAAGTTAACTGTGTTAAGATCATAGAGCAGCTGAGATTGGAAGACACTTCTGGGTCCATGTGGCCCAACTCCTGCCCCAGCAGGGCCCCCTAGAGCAGGTCTTTTTCAGGTTTCCGGCTCCAGTTCTCTACAGCTAGAAGGACAAAGGGAGGGTCAGAAAGCATGTAGAATTCATTTATAAATAACTTTCTTCTCTTGCTTTGCCTCCTTAGTCATCTCTTTCTGTAAGTTCTAGCCTAAATATTATTTTCAAATGACAAATTCAAACCCTACAGAATCAGTAGCCAAAGTTTGTTTTACGCAGATTCCAACTGCTATGTCATATTATTTGCAGAATATACTTTTTTTGATAAATTTTAATGACAATGAAGAAATAAAGGGGGAATAAAATATAAATATTTCCTTTGGGGTTTATGTAGATACATATTTTCAAGACTTGCACAGAATCATCTGAAAAATGCTGTTTTTGTTTAATCTCACATTGC